GTTTGGACTGTCAAGAAGTTGAGCCACTACTTTCAAGCTCACCCGGTTCAGGTCCTCACTCATCAACCCCTCGGCGCCCTCATGAGGAGCCCCACCAGCTCCTCCCGCATGGTGAAATGGGCTATCTTCTTGAGCCAATACAACATTGACATCCGTCCAAGGCCTGCCATCAAGGGCCAAGCCTTGGCGGACTTTGTGACGGAATGTACCGCAAGGGCAGCCACGGACGGGGAGCCCTCGGCTACCTCGGACGACTAGTGGACCCTCTACACCGACGGCTCCTCCGCGACTAAAGCATGCGGGGGAGGGGTAGTCCTCATTACTCCCGAGGGCTTCAGAGCCTACTATGCAATCCGCTTCTCCTTCAAAGTCTCCAACAACGAGGCCGAATATGAGGCCCTCCTATGTGGCCTTCGGCTGGCTGCCAACATGAGGGTTCGGCAGATCCACATCAAATGCGACTCCAAGTTGGTCGTTGGCCAAATCTCCGAGGAATATGAGGCCAAGGAGGGAAGAATGAAACAATACAAGGAAGCGGCCAAGGAGTTGCTCAAGGTATTTGAGGCACACTCTCTCACTCAAATACCGAGGGCTCAGAACTCCGAGGCCGACATATTATCTAAGCTCTCGGCCGACTCCCCCGAGCACATCTCCAAAATTGCCAAAATTGAGGAACTCAGCCTCTCAAGTATCAATGCAAGCCCCGTTATGAACATACAACAACGCCAAGAGGATTGGATCTCAGATATCACCGCCTTCATCTCCACAGGGCAGCTACCCGAGAATGAGACCCGCGCTAAACTGGCGAAGCTGAGGGCTCCTAGCTACACCATCGAGGATGGAAGGCTCTACAAACGATCTTACAATGGCACGCTACTTCGATGCCTTCATCAAGATGAGGCCGAGGTCGCAATGGAGGAAGTGCACAGTGGCACTTGCTCAGCTCACCAGGGACCCTTCTCCATGTCCCGAAGGCTCATTCTCCAGGGCTACTTCTGGCCAACCATGGCCAGAGATTGTGCTGACCTTGCCCGAAGATGCACCGCATGTCAACATTTCCAGAAAGCCCCCGGCAGGCCAGCGGTCAACTATGCCCCCATCAGCACATCTGTCCCTTTTTCTCGATGGGGGATAGACCTTGTGGGCCCTCTGCCGAGGGGTACCTCCAACAACAGGTACATCATTGTGGCCATCGACTACTTTACCAAGTGGGTGGAGGCTGAGCCCCTCGCCAGTATCACAGAGGTGAAGTGCCGTCATTTTTTCCTCAAGAACATCCTCACAAGGTTTGGCGTCCCCCAGCAGATCATCTCCGAAAATGGGACACAATTTGAGGCAGCCCCCTTCTGTGCCCTTCTGGAGGCATGGGGCATCAAACACACCTTCTCCTCCGTTGCCTACACTCAAGGCAACGGGCAAGTAGAGAATGCCAACCGGACCTTGCTCGAGGGCCTCAAAAAGAAGCTGGAGGCCGAGGGCGGTGGTTGGGTGGAAGAACTCCACAACATCCTGTGGGCCTACCGCACCACCCCTCGGCGAGCAACAGGTGAAACACCCTTCTCCCTCTGCTACGGTTTTGAAGCCAAAGCTCCTACGGAAGTCACCCTTCCCACCCGAAGGGTGATCCAATATGACCCCGAGGTCAACGACAGCAACATGGCCCTCGACCTCCACCTCATTTCAGAACGCCGGGAGCAGGCCTTCATCCGGGCAGAAAATTACCGAAGGCAAGTCAAAAGCTACATCAACGCCAAAGTTCGCACCAGAGAATTCCAAGTGGGGGACTATGTCCTCCGGAGGAGGGAAGCCAGCCAACCAACCGAGGGAGGAAAAATGGCACCAAAATTCGAAGGCCCCTACATCATAGCAGCCATCATCAAACCTGGGACTTACAAGCTCAAACGCCCCAACGGGAAAGAGGTCCCTAGGCACTGGAATGTACACCATTTAGTTAAATTTTACCAATAATGTAAGAGCGGCCAAGCCCTCATAACTAATGAATGTACTATCCTATGGCCCAAGGCCTCCACTTTTGAGGAATGAAGACACAATCAAGACACCACACCCTCATACTGACTACAGGCCCCAGGCCTCACCACGAGAAAAACCCCCTCCGGCACCAAGTACCGAGGGCGGACACCATCAACACCTACAACAACAGGAGAACACCACGTGTTTTCGAACAAGCCCCCTCGGTACCAAGTACCGAGGGTGGGGACTCCCGTCACCAACGGCAAGGAACGCCATGTGTTTTATTTCCCTTCGGCACCCAGTGCCGAGGGTACATCCCCACCTTCAACATCAAAAAAGAAAAGATGAGAACACCAAGTGTTCCTACAGAAGACCCTTCGGCACCCAGTGCCGAGGGTACACCTCCATCATCAAACATCGAACCGAAGAAAAACACCAAATGTTTCAAAGAAGACCCCTCGGCACCCAGTGCCAGGGATATGCTCTCCTATCAGCTTCCAAACATCTGTTGGGAAACACCAAGTGTTTCCTCCGAGGGCCCCTCCGGCACCAAACACTCCAAGTAGAACACCAAGTGTTCCTACAGAAGACCCCTCGGTACCAAGTACCGGGGGGCTACACATCGAAACTAACACCAAGTGTTGTTTCTAAAAGCCGTACCCCACGAGGACGCATATACCGAAGGCGCCACCATCGGTGCCGGCGGCACGTAGTGCCCCCGGCCATTTGCAACTAGTGTGCAAATGAAAACCCTTCCTTGAAACGCTTTCCGCGTCACTACCCCTAGGGTATGACAGGCATGAGAAATGCTCAGGATTCGACTTTCAAAAACGGAACGCTATCCGCGTCATCACCCCAAGGGTATGACAGGCACGAGAAATGCCCAGGATTCGACTTCCAAACCGAAACGCTCCCCGCGCCACCACCCCAAGGGTGTGGCAGGCCACAGACTATGTCTAGCGCCGAGAGGACGACTTTCAAAAATGAGGCGCTTTCCGCGCCATCCCCCAAGGGGAGGCAGGTTACAGACCACCATATCTTGTGCCTAGGAAACGACCCTCGATCCCATCGGAACTCGGAAGGTTAACCCGAGGGAGGAGAGCCATTGGTGTATTCTGATGGTCTCCTAATAGGCCCAGCCTTACCAAGAAACCAAGTTTCTTGATGCCTTCCCTTCACCACCAACCAAAAAAAAAAAAAAAAAGAGGGGGTGAAGGGGAGTAGACTCAGCGAGAAATCAAAGAGTACACTCCAACAGATCACAACATGCCGAGGGCTCCCCACGGGAACACCTCCGGTAATTGAAGGCTCCTATTTCCCGAAGGATACTACTCGAACAAATATCATCAAGAAACGGCTAAGTCCACTGCCTGGTCACCTCCGGTCACACAAGCACCGAAGGCTTCAACAATACAAAGGGACGGGACTATCCAAAGTCCACTAAACGGTACTTCAAACACCGAAGGCATCTGTTATGCACTAATACCGAGGGCCCCTACCCCATTACAAGGGACACAACTGGCTGAGTCAAACTCTACAACTTTTCAGAGTGTATGCCGAAGGCACACACTCATCATTGGCTTTCCTCACAACAACAGGATTCCACACTTTTCCTAAGTCCACATTTTTGGAAAATGATGGCAACCGGAGACTAATATATCACCAGACAACCGAAGGCATATATTACAAATCATCAAAAGCCAACTGAGGGGGACTATTCCAAAATATTTGCCCCTCGGACAGACTCCACACTGACCGAAGGTTCAACATCTACGACACTCTGTGAAATTTTGCTTAGCCCCACATATTTGGCCCTCGGCCAAAGACTCATACAACACAAGGGCCTCACGATCACCCGAAGGGTCCTATTCATATACCCGGAGGGGTCTACATCCGGAAGCTCAACATCAATTTACGCTTAGAAAATATTCTAAGTCCTAAATGAGTAACCCCCGGGCATCTCGCAAAAGTGATGCAGAGTCAGAGGGCACCTATCACCCGAAGGCGACACAAGGAAGCAGCACTTGGAAAAAATTCTAAGTCCTAAAGATTGGGCCCCCGGCCCAATCAATATTACAGCCAAGGGAATATGATAGCTGAAGGCTATGCGATACAACAACACTTGCAAAAAAAATCTAAGTCCCAAAGATGGGCCCCCGGCTCAATCAATATTACAGCTAAATGAATATGACAGTCGAAGGCTATACATCAAGAAGGGATGCCATATCCCGAAGGCTCCCAAGGGAAAATCTACACTTAGAAGATTTTCTAAGTCCTACATATTTTTCCCCCGGTCAACTACTCATACATCAAGAAGGGATTCCATCTCCCGAAGGCTCCCAAGGGAAAATCTGCACTTAGAAATCTTTCTAAGTCCTACATATTTCACCCTCATCTCAAGGGACCTAATAGCCGAAGGCTACCTATCAATCGAAGGCTACAGTACACAAGGAATCAACACTGAGGAAAATTTTCTAAGTCCTAAAGAATTGGCCCCCGACCTAATCAATATTTCAGTTGGGGCTCCACAGTAGCCGAAGGCTACGTGACATGCTACACTTGCAAAAAATTTCTAAGTCCTGTACATTGGGCCCTCGGTCCAATATTCACACATCAGGAAGGAGGCTACCAGCCGAGGGCGTCCGAGGGCAAAACTAGACCTGGAAATTTTTCTAAGTCCTAGGAATTGGGTTCTCAACCTAATCACCACACAACAATGGAACTACAAACACCCGAAGGCCCTATGGTGTGTTATACTTAGGAAAATTTTCTAAGTCCTGATTATTGCTGAACCCTCGGTTGTATATCCAGCAGAGGGTGCCCAACTACCGAAGGCTTCCAAGGGCAAGCTACAATCAGAAAATATTCTAAGTCCTAGACATACATTCAAAAATACCGAAGGCATACACTCAAGGAAAACGGAGGCATACATTCAAGAAGAAAGGAATTGGAGAAAACAAGTCATATATACGAAGCCCGAAGGCAGACATTCATCAATCAACAAAAAGAAAGAGTAAATGTGATAGTTACAAAGATGGCCGGGGCCGAAAACATGAGAATGTGATCATTACAAGTATGTTCAAATTACTGAGTGTAAATTACAAATTACAAATCTGATCATTTCCGGGGGCCGCCTCCTCCGATGGCTTCGAGGTAACCTCTGCATCGGCCTCAGGTTCGTCACCCTCGGCTTCTTTCATGAGCTCTGTATCCTCTAGATCCGGCCTCTCGACATCGGAGGGGAGAGGAACGCGGACGTCTGGCTGCAGGGGGGGAGCCCGTATGCCGCCGGGTCAAAGTCCTTTGGCTCGATCTTCAAGTGGCGAGCCATCCTCCGGTAGATGAGGGCTTGGGTGAAAAACTCGCCCCCATCATAGTATTGTTTACCCTTTCGGGAAACCCACTCCACACCAGGCCCATCGCACCACTCGTCAACCGAGGACTCGACGACCGAGGACAGCCATTGCTTGTGCTCCTCGGCCCGCCACCCCCCTGCCAAGAACCCCGAGATTGCGTCCCCTCGGGCTCTCTCGACGGCTTCCATCTTCGCGGCCTCGGCCTCCCTGGCAGCTCTCTCCAAGGCCTCAGCTGCGGACCTCTCAGCCTCTGCCCTGCCCCGATCTGCGGCCTCCGCCCGCAGGGTCATCTGCCGAAGGCTCTCCTCCAGCATAGCCATCTGCCGGACAGCATCAGCATTCTGGCGGATGAGCTCCCGCATCTTAGCCTCCTGCTCAGCCTTTCGAAGGCGCCACTCCTCTAGCCGCCGGGCTTGCTACCCGAGGGCAATGCAGGTCTACAAAAACAAAGGAGTTAGCAGGGCCGAACATGGTTGCTTAGCTCAAAGTAAAGAAGAAAGATATAACCATCGAAGACTTACCGTGAGGGAAGACCGGAGGATCCTGTCCTCGAGGGCTTCATCTTCATCAGCCCCGAGGGCTACTCTGTCGATCTCGAGGGTGATGCCTCTCAGAAGCGCCCTCGGGTCAGCCGTGCCGTTCATCACGGCCGTACCAGCCGGGAGGGAAACCATAAGGACCTCGGAAGATGGCCCCTGAACACCCGACGACACTTTCGCCACCTGCATCTCCTCATTCGCCCCGGAGGCAGGGCATTCATCAACAATGATCACCGGGGGGACTTTCTTCCCGGCATCCCCGGTCTTGGGCTTCTTGCCCTCGGGATCTCTGCCCGTGCCCTTCCTTTTGGCGGCGGTGGCCGCGTCAGCACTTGGGCCCACCGACGGCCCCTCCGGCTTCTTGAAAAAGTCACCGGCGGGTTTCGGGACACCAGCGTCCGTCCCCCTCGGGCCCTTGGAAGGTTTTTTCTTCTTCAGGTCCGCAAGGCCTTTGACGTTCATCATTTTCACTGGGACACCTGCAAAAATAGTATGGGGTTAAAATCGAGGGGTTACTAACCGAAGGCACAAGGAATAAAAAAAGAAACGAACAGATAAACTATGTGCTAAGATATGAAAACCAAGGGCCCTCGTAGACTACCTCCTGCTCCCCCGAAGGCCTCAGCAAAAATGGGGTACTTCTCGTCCGCTTCCCCAATGAAGCGGTATCTCCGAAAGCCGAGGGCGTAGAGTCCCTTGTCGGCAGTGTAGTCTTTGATAGAGACCTGCTTCGTGCGACCCTCCGGGATTTTGGCTATCACCAGGCCATCTTTCTCGAGGGCGGCACTTCCAACCTTCGGATGCCGACGGAAGCGATCCCGAAGTTCCGCCGGAAATGGGTTCTCAGCAACCCTGACATAGCACCAGCGCTCCTTCCAGCCCTTATTGGACGAAGGCGCCTCCGTAAATAGCTTCCACCTGGCTACCTGCTGCAGGTTGGCGAAGCCCTCAGCATTCGCGTGACCCCCTCGACAGAGGTTGAAGCTCTGGAAGAACAAGTCCAGGCTGGGGGTCACCCCTCGGTCCCTACAGAGGTTCAAAAAACCCGCCATGTAGGAGTGGCTATTAGGTGTCAGCTAGCAGGGTACCAAGCCAACAAACCTCAGGTACTCCCGGAGGAAGGGGTGCAGAGGGAACCGAAGGCCCATGGAGACCGACAGTACGTGTACTGCAATACACCCCTCGGGCGCCCGAGATAGCACGTCGTCAACTCCCAGCTCGACCACCACGGCCGAGGGCCCTACGTGTAGCTGCGTGACGTAGAGGTCCGCCCTGTCCGCCTTCGACTTTATCTCCAAGGCAGCCGTATTGAGCCAGGAATACCCCTCCGGCATATCTACGGGTTTCCCCTGATCAGCAGCAACAACCTTCTTCTTGGGGGCAGCTGCCTTGGCCTTCTTCTTCCCGGGGGCCACCCGGATGGGAACTGCATTCAGCGGCTGAGAAGTACTGGCCTCACCAGCACCCCGAGGGGGAAGGACGGCCACAGTAACCTTCGCCCTCTCCTTTTCCTCTTCCTCCTCAGCAACTTGGACGGCGAGGGCCAACTCCTCATCTTCGGCGGTCCGCTCGAACTCCTCCGCCTCGGCCTCGGCCATCAGATCCTTCTGCACCTCGGTGGCGAGAGCTGCATCACCACCATCCGAGGGCTGACTGCTACTGGACTCCACGTCGGAGATGCCTTCGTCCTCCATCGAGGGCGTCCTCGAGATGTCCTGGGAATCGCTCTCGGACGACATTTTTATCACGAAGTGTGCCTAAGATTTCGAAGGCTTTCTACAGGACTCTAACCCTAATCTAAGGCCAGAGGGCGGAACTTACTAAAAGTTTGGAGAGGAGAGCAGGACACTGACCTTGAAAGCTGAGTTCTGACCGAAGGCTTGAGTTTCTCTCTCTAGAATTTTTGGCAGAGCTTCGCTAAGACAGATGATCGCACAAGAAGAAATGGATCTGGCCTTGGGGTATTTATAGGCGCTGGAATCTGGGCTTGGGCTTGGATTCCGGGCCTCCGGATGGACCGCCATCATTACACACCGCGTCTTCGCCCAACCAGTGATGCCGCCCACGGACAGCCAGCCATCACGCGCCACGTGTACTCCTCCCCCAACGGCTATAAACCTGACGTTACATATTCCAACGGCTATATCTCTAACGGCTATATTCTGGAAGCCCCCGGGTTTTCTACTTCACTCCACTTCTTCATGGAGAGCCTCCGGGTACACTTACCCAGAGACGCCCCCGGGTTGTGCCCCACACAGCACATAACAGACGCCTTCGGGATCACTCCTTCAGAAACCCTAGGCGTCATATCAAGGCACCCCTCGGGGATTCCCCCTCATCACTGTAAAACCGGGTAGCCCCCGGGAATTGCCTCATTGACGGATACCCTACGGCACACAGGTAATGGGAGCCCTCGGGTATCTTCATCACCAACTAATCAACAAACAGTGGACCCCCCGATAACAACTCCACTGTTGCCCTCATCCATCAGGCCCTCGATCCCCAGATTGAGGGGCTCCCCTTCGGCACCCCCAGGACATTAACAGCAAGCCTTCGGCTAATCAACACATGAGCCCTCAGAGCAAGGAGATCCTTCGGCATTACCATTATTCTCCATTTTGAACCAAGGTTTCACATTTTCGATTCATCGTTGGGGGAATTCGGTGCACTCTTTTTCCCTCATTAGGATTTTTTCCCACAGGGTTTTTCCTAATGAGGGTTTTAACGAGGCATCCCCCCAAAATGAAACGAAAAGCGTCAGCCTTCGGCCCACAACAGCAACACAACTACTCTACTCCTTTTCACCACTTTACAAGTGCCTCAAGGAGTGGGGGACTGGAGGACCCCCTCGGGAAAATCATTAAATTACAAAATTAGTGAAATTCCAGCAAACGACAAAGCAAGCCCTCAAGTCCCGACATGTGGGTAACTGAGGGACTGCCTTCGGCAGGGACATAAAAGCAACAACTCCTCACCAACTTCAGAGATCACGACAGGACAACATCAAAGGGCAAGCACAAATTACTCCTTTTCCCTCAAATACTTTTCGGCAAAAGGAGTGAGGGACTCCTGATGGAGTATATGGCCCGGGAACACCCGGCCCACAGACTCCTACTACTCCAGTGGAAGCCCAACAGGCCCAGAAGGCCCAACAGGCCCAAATTGAGGCGCCCAGAGTACCAAGCAGCCCGCAATACGCACCAGGGGGTGCCTTCGGCCCCCTGGCCGAAGGCTCCAAACTCTCACAGAACGGGTATTTCGAACAAACAGAGGGACTGGGAGAAACCGGCGAGAACAGTAGCCCTCGGCACCTGGAGCCCTCGGCACTCAGGGGTCCTTGGCACTAAGAGCCCTCGGCTAGTCCTCTGCAGCCGAGGGCACCTCTCCCGACATGATATCCGCCTCACATGCGTACAGATCACCGTACCCTGTACAGACGTCCCATCCAACAGCCGCATTAAATGCGGCCACATGCGGCTGCCAACGCCAACCAGTTGAGGTGACCTCTCGGCCAATAGGCGCTTGACACGTGTCCATGTCCGGCATTTATTGCTACTATAAATAGCACCTCATTTCCCCATTTGTAACCACGCTGAAAACGCTCCACATTTATAATACTCTCTCTCTCTACATTTACTTGCTCTGACTTCTCTCTAAGCTATTCCCAGCAATAACCCTTCGGATATATACCCCCGGGTAGACTATCCATCAGTGTCAATTGTACTTGTGAAGATAAATATGGGACGGAGGAAGTAACTTGTAAGAAAATACTCCCTCCATCCCAATTTGTTTTGCAAAGTCAATATTTTTTGGTTAATCAATAATAGAAGTCAATCCTCCCTATGCATAACTAATTCAATTTTTAATAATTAAAATTTACATATTCATAAACTACATCAAAATCTCTTCAAATTTGAAAACTCCAAATTAGAATATAATTAAAAATTGGCATACTAATTAAGTGAACAAAACGAAACTGTTTAATCAAGAAAATTCAAATTTGCAAATCAATTTGGGACGGAGGTGGTATGAAGTGCAGTGGAAGAATTTACAAAACTTTGTTTAAAGGGTAATTCTAAATGCAGTCCATTTTTCGCCTAAGCACAACCTCTTGTTAAAAACTCGTATGTTTCATACAAACGGATGAATTTTACAAACTTATCCTTCAACAAAAATAAATTCTTTTCAACTGCTAAAGCACAACCATACTCTGTAAATACGAATATGTCTTCCCTGAATAGGAAGAAACTCCTTAAATGACGCTCAACTAAGAAGGTTGACAACTTGATATGACTGAAGCTATGGTGGCGGTAGTGACGGCTATGGAGGCGGCAAGGTTATTTTAGGAGAGAGGTAGTACCCGGCCCGGATCTAGTCTGCGACGAGGGAGATCAGTCCACCCCTGTGTCCTCCGGTTGCTACCTAATACCTGCAATCCAGCTTGGCCGCCCTGCCGTTCCGCTGCTCGGTAAATACAACAAAAGCCGGCCACCCAATTTAGCTCATCGCCTGGAATACCCTGCCGCCCAGCATGCAGCGCCGCTCAGTTCCAATCGCCGGACCTATCAACCCGTTACCCCCACCAAGACCCAATTGCCGTCCGGCCTGTTAAGGGCCCATTTAGGCCATCCAAATTTATCCTCAGCAACTAAAATACCTATTCGTCACCACAGGACAAAGAAAAATACTCCGTAAGTGATAACATGAGAGGTGCTGGGAACATTAGTGTTGTGGTAATATACTAATATGGAAGGTTGACAAAGAGAGTGGTATGGGGGAGAAAGATGATGGGTAGGGATATAATAGACATTTTATTTATATTTAATTGTTAATTAATTTTTATTAGGGTTGTGAATAGCAATTATGTGACTGTATTTAGAATTACTCTTGTTTAAAGGAAAATTCCTTTTGTACACGTAAAGTTTTACACGTCGGGTTACACGCCTGTCAAATTGTCTGTGTACAGACAATTTGATCGACTACACAGACATATTGAGCGGCGATTTACGAAAAAAACCGATTTTCACACAGACAAAAATAAAAAAATGTATGTTTCACAGACACTTTATGAAAAATTCAGTTTTAAAATGTCTGTGATACAGACAACTCTTGATATTTTGTCTGTATGGAAATCAATTTTCTTCATAAAACGTCGGTCAAATTGTCTGTCTAGCCGATCAAATTGTCTGTATACAGATAATTTGACCGGCGTGTACACGAAGCGGGACTCTTGTTTAAATCCCACTCCCACCCCTTCCAAACGGTCAAAGAGCTGTGGGTGAGGCAAAAAAGGCAAAAAGATAAATACAACAATTCTTGGTGTACACCTTCTTATACACATCAGTACACCCTCGTGTTTGTGAGAGTTTTTTTTTGTTTATGAATCTCAGTCCACAGACAAAAACAGACTTGTTTTGTCTCTAGAATTTCTCACAGACAAAACAAGCCTGTTTTTGTCTGTGGACTGGGACTCACAGACAAAAAAAACTCTCACATACACGAGGGTGTATTGATGTGTATAAGAAGGTGTACAAAAGGAATTTTTGAAAAAATAAATATTAAAATGTAGCCGCTTGAACTGGAAGTAGGGGTGGGCAACAGATCCAGTCCCGTTGGCCCGCTCCGGAATGTTCCGGTTCCGTGCCGAAATCGTCCAGTTATATTTGGGACACATTATTTTTGTCTCGTACCGGTCCCGAACCGTTTCAAAACATAACGAGTCCGGGACAAGTAAAATATATCTCATTCCGTCCTATTATCCCGAATCCAAAATTGTACTTTGTAGCAGGTTAGTGAGATCTACCAACAACTCATTGTGTAATCCAAATAATAATAAATATCTTTTTTCTCAAACCCAAATATCAATGATTATTAAGATACTAGTTGTTTAACAACAAAACACCTAAAAAATTCTAAACTGCCTAATATGAACAATGAGCTATCATCTATCTCCAAAAAAAAAGAAATTGATTTTAACTCCCAAAGCCTTCACCTCTTATAATATTCTTTAGATCTATTGATAGTTTTTTTGTGTTAAAGTTTTTTTCTCTACAACTTTTGTTTCTTGCGGCTAATTTGGTAGGTTGCATTTTTTATCACAAATTTCTAGATTAGCGCAATTTTTTTGTGAGAGCTTTTGTGCTAGTTTCTTTTTTTCAAATAACTTTGCTTCAGTTTTTGGATTGGGTTTTTTTCACTAAATTTTTTGGGGATGTCCCGAACCATCCCGTTTTGTCCCGGTATCGGTTTAAATGGGACAACGTCTTGTTCCGCCCGTTCCGAACCGTTATTATAAACCGGGTTCGGTATCGGGACAACCCAATTCCCGTTCTGTCCCGGACCGTGCCCACCCTCTGGAATTGTCCAGTCCGGTTCAAAAACACAGATGAGGCCCTACCAGACTTGGAACCCGGTTCAGTAACCAGGGTAAATACTTAGCCGGTTTTGGATCGGTTGATTTCCTGTAATGCCCGGAAACGTGGAAAGGCCAGCGTTTCCCGTATCGGAAACGTACTGACGTTTCCGAACGCGAGAAACGTCCAAAACGCGTGTCGGGCCAGTTTCTTAATTTTCAAAAGTTTGGAAACCTGTTTCCCCCCAAAACAGAGTTTCACCAAAAAAGAAAAACCAAAGAAATTAAGAATCTACGGAGTATCTACGGACTTCTTCTTCTTTAGTGATTGGCCGTCTTCAGCGAAGATCGTATTAGTATCTGCACTCTTCGTCTTCAACAGGTCAAGGAAAGTCACAATCTTTTCTCCTTTTGCTATGTCGATTGTATTATCTGCTGTCTCAAGCTGTCCGACTCTGTTTGTACTTGGGTCTGCTTTGGTTTCTCGACAGCACAGTTCTCCCCTGAGTAGGTGGGTGGGATTTGGGGTTGAAATTAAATGTACGAGTAGTTTGAGTAATGTTGTAGACTTAGCCTAGTAGGTGAGCTTGATGACGTCCAGCTGTCCACTAATTGATTATGAAATTTATTAAACATTTTTCATTTATTTAAACATATAAATGTGTATGATAGTAGTGGAGTAGACTTGGCCTAGTAGGGCAGTAGTGGAGTACTATAGTACTATACGCAGCATTGGCAGCAAAAGTTGCTACTTTAATTTACATATATGGGTGTAAATTTATTTATATATATATATATATATATATATATATATATATATAATATTTATAAAATAACCCCTATAGTTTTAATATTTGTGCGTTTCCCTACGTTTCGTGTCCTGTATTTTTTGTAAATAGCATTTCCGACGTTTCCTGTTTCTCGTTTCCGTGCTACTTAGTTGATTCCAAATTGGAACCGTCCAAAGGAATCGCTACACTAGTGCTATGGTGGATTGAATTACATGACAATCTAATTGTTACTTAAATCTTTTATGGTATATTTTTACGTTTTTCCCATTCAACTCACCCATTCACTTTTAAACCCAGCCTAACCCATATATTTGGGATCCACCCCTGGATCCATGGCAACCCCTAACAGCTAAAGGATAAGGATTGACGATGAGTCAGTCACTCCTATGAGGTGCTGTTGAAGAGAAAGTTAGGACTTCTTTTATCACTTTTATTGAACTTTGAAAGTGGTTTTAATTTAGTGAAAAGCTGAGAGTAATGTTTAAGTTCATCCAAGTTTACCTTTACCAACAAGGATGACCAAGTATATGTGATAAAGTGAAGTTAGAATTGCTAAAAAATACTCCGTAGCAAATAAAGTGCCTGAATTACCAGTGAAATGGTAAATAATGAGACAGTGCTTCACAACAATAGCACATGAAAAGATTTCAAATTTGATGTGTCAATCCTCTTCATCATCTTCTTGGAAATTTTTTTGGCCAAAACCTCTAGGTCCGGCTTTAGCTCTATTTGCAATCTTTCCCTTTCTCTTACCTTTCTTCTTGGAAGCCTCTTCTTTTTCAAACTTGTCGCTCTCCCTCTTCTGTAAGAAATCTGTTACAGCTATATAGATTACCTGCAAACAAAAACAACACCAGAACCAGACATGAATATCATGAATTTGACCTTAAAAATACGCCAAAGTGGGTTATCTGGAAATGTAATTCAAATAAAAAGAAACTTCTTTTGAGCTTAAATGATCATTCAATTCAACCAAAATATTCAAATATATGCCGGACAAGGACTAAGATATCCTTTCTTGATTAGATTTCCGGTCGCAATCTTTCATTTGATTGCTGCAGCCCTGAATCCCCAGATATAGATTTAGAAATCCTAGATATTGATATCATTTTTTAGTATTCTCTTTAATTCGTTTATTTTACCTTGGTCCAAAAAGGTGGAATCTCCCACCTCAGGAGTCCCATACCCCGATCCGACAGGATTTTTGGAAGGATGTTAATCACGGTGACTCAGTCAGCCCAATAATGGTAGGCCTTTTTCCCGTTCGCACCAGAGGCCCAGCCTTATTGTTTATTTTACCTATCGATATCCATAAATCCCATAATGCATCGATATTTCTAACATTTCTATCAAAAGCAATATGATCACCCTTGGTTTTGGTTCAAACTCATGAGCCGGAAAGATCAATTTTTTACTTTTCTAATGTAATTACAAGTAAATACCCATTTACTAAGTAAAATAAGAGGTTTTCTTTAATTAACTTAAATCACATTTATGCACTCAAATATAACTACATGGTAACTTTCAACACTATTACAGTCACAACATACTCAATATGCATTAAGGAGTCATATTTTTGTCCAACTTTTACTTTGGTAATATAGTCATTATTTCCACTAATGATTGTCAATCAAAACTTCATTTTATTCCCTCCCAATTATCAGTCTTCAATATCGATCTTGGCCATTGGAATGTATAATTATACCCGTATATACTACTCCTCCGTCCCATATAGAGGTTCCCGGTTAAGTTTACGATGCTTGACTGACGATAAAGCAACTTGATCCCTGTTCACACTCCGATTATTTTTAGAAAACAAAAATTACATATTCAGAAACTACATTAAAGTCGCTACAAAGGCTGATAAAAAATATGTAAATTTCATAAAAATTTAATATATAAAGCAAAAGGTTAAGAATGATTTAAGTTGACCACGTGAATAGTGGACGAGAACCTTTAAATGGGATGAAGGGAGTAATATACTTAGTTATAAATTCTATAGTACAACATTATTTCAATAACATATAAGGGGTATAAATTATACTTCGTACTAAATATGTGGTCTATTTTCTAAGTTGGGAAAACATCATACAGAGTATTAAAATACTCCCTCCGGTCCTTATTAAACTTTACACTTTGACTTCACACATATTAACGAAATAAATTTGAGTTTACTGTAGAGTACACTGTTTGACACTGTTTGGTATAGATTTATTTGCCAAATAAGGCATATAAGGAAGTGAAAAGTTTAATATGGGACGACCCAAAAAGGGAAGTGTAAACTGTAAAGTTAACTAAGGACTGGAGGGAGTACGAAGTATCTTTACCTATTAACCTAAAAAAAGTATCCTTACCTATTCTTTCTTTTCCTTAATTTATCTAGAAAAATTCTAGGTGTACACAAAATGTGTACACTTTTCGTACAATCCTCTAGTTGCCTATGTACACACAACTCGTTAAGAAAAAGGTGGCATTCTTCTTCCAATTGTCTGTGTACAGAGACATTGTATAATTTGTGTACAACAAGAATGACCCATTAATCTACTTTTTCTAGTTTTCTTCTACTATATCTCACTATTCAATACTTACACTTGAATCATAAATGGTGAAAGTTAACCCTTCAAAAGGGAAAGAGATTTACTTTGGGGCTGAGAACGAATGAAAATATCACCCTAATCCCCACAAGTCCACAACCACTTTCTAGCCAGAACGGTTTATGGAAAAATAGAGAGTTTCTTTTCTTACTTTTATGCAGTTTTGAACAATAAGCAACGAAATTGGAATCAGACGTGAGAAAAGGGTTCAGTTCAAATATGTATTTACCCCAACAGTGAGAACGGATAAGGCAATGAAAGCAGCGAAAAGCAGAGCCGAAATGACGGACGAGACCCTATCACCGGCTGTAGAAGCTATTTCCTGGGAATTCTGGACAGAATCTGTTTCAGAGGTCAAGACAGCGATAGAAGAGACAATCCGCCCTCCATCCCGCCGAAAATGCGAATCCCTATTAAGAAAGGGTTGAGATAGTGAAGTAGCAGGGATGATAAGCGAAAGATGGGAGTTGTATGATATGAATGGTCGGTGTTGGTTAAGTGGCCGTGGCGCCGGCGAGAGAAATGGAAAGAGACATGAAACGGCAGTCGCCATGTCTCATCTCGGCTGCTCTGTTCTGCTCCACAATTCCCAAATCCAAAATGGGATAATGAAACTATGTGGACGAGAACCGATTACGTTTGGAAGGCTGAATTTAGGGTCTGTTTGGATGGAGACTTTTACACGGATTTGGAGGGAAAGTTTTGCAAAATTATATTTGAAAATAGTAGTTACATTTGAAGTATCGATAATATGAAAATATTCTTTGCTTAAACTATTATGAGGTATATATTAACAAAAGTATAATAGTGATGGATAGTGTACTCGGGGGTAGCTTATCCGAGGGGTTATTACGGGGAGTAATAAGAGAGAAGTCAGAGCAAGTAAATATATAGAGAGAAAGTATATTATCAAGTGTGGAGCGTTTTCAGCGTGGTTACAAATGGGGAAATGGGGTGCTATTTATAGTAGCAATAAATGTCGGACAGGGACACGTGTCAAGCGCCCATTGGCCGAGAGGTCACCTCAACTGGTTGGCTGGCAGCCGCATGTGGCCGCATTTAATGCGGCTGTTGGATGGGACGTTTGTACAAGGTACGGTGATCTGTACGCATGTGGTGCGGATATTATGTCGGGAGAGGTGCCCTCGGCTGCAGAGGACTAGCCGAGGGCTCTGAGTGCCGGGGACCCCCTGGGTGCCGAGGGCTCCAGGTGCCGAGGGCTACTGTTTTCTGCCGTTTTTCTCCCAGTTTCTTAGTTTGCTTGAAAAACCCGTTCTGTGAGAGTTTTGAGCCTTCGGCCAGGGGGCCGAAGGCTCCCCAGTGTGCGTTGTGGGCTGCTAAGTGCTTGAGGCGCCGTAATTTGGGGCCTGCTGTGCTTCCTGGGCCGGTTGGGCCTTTATTGGTGTAGTAGGAGTCTGTGGGCCGGGGGTTCCCGTGCCATATACTCCATCAAATAGTATTCAATTTCGCATAAGTATATTAGTTAAAATAATTGTTCAAAGTTTATTATCTTTGAATGGAAATGTGAGAAATGACTAACTCAAAGGTAAAGAATTACGGAGTATTTCTTAGCAATGATAGCATTCTATATTTATATCACCGAATTTAAAAATACAAAATCCCATCTCTATCACTCTTCTACACTAATAATCACAAAAATAGGAAAAAAGGGCAAATAAGCCCACATACTAACAAAAAAGTCAAATAAGACCTTATATAGGAGGCTCTGTCCGGACGTCGTTATTTGGGGTAGTTCCCGATGGATTTTTTTTATGAATTTTTTTGAGAATCTTATTCATTAAGTCTAGTTTTACTCATATCAAATTTCAGCTAACATCTCAATTGGCAAGACATTCAAATAAATTCTTGAAGATAACTGCACTTTTAACTGCACAGTTATCTTCAAAAATTCACTTGAATGTCTTCCCGATTGACGTTTTAGCTGAAATTTGGTATGAGTGAACTAGACTTAATGAATAATATGCTCAAAAAATTGCATTAAAAATTTCCAACGGGAACCGCCCCAAATGATGACGGCCGGACATAGCCTCCTATATAAGGGCTTATTTAACTTTTTTTGCTTAGTACGTGGGCTTATTTGCCCCTTTTTCCACAAAAATATAATGGTGAAATTCATAAAAATAATCCATACTTTTAGGGATTCTACAATAATAATTCCTATTCAGAGTATTCCCAAAAATAATTTGCACTAGCAATGGTGTTCACGAGAATAAATTTGGGTGAATTCAAATTTATGCACGTTTAACATTCTCAGCTCTTACTCCTACTTTTCTCTTACTCATTCTTGTTCGCAGGGCTAATTCAAACTTGTGGGCATTATTGCTAGTATAAATTATTTTTATAAACACTCTAAGTATGGATTATTATTATTATTATTATAAAATCTATAAAAGTAGGGATTTTTTTGTGAATTTCACAAAATATAATCACATAAGTCATTGGTATGAGTAATAAGACGCTTTCTCATGTGAATAGATAGCTTTATTATATTGTTAGTATCCACTATCATCATCGACTTTGTTTTTTAGACCCGATAAGATTTCAAACTTCAATAATGGAGCTTGGGGTGAGGGCGAGAGAACACCCCACCAATTTATTAGAATAAAGAGAGATTACTCGGAGTAGGAAGGCCAAGTCAAAGCCCACTCAATTAAAAAGCATAAGGTAACTAATTGCATCAAATTTAAGGATACAGACAAAATTATTAATGTGATGAGTATTGGTTTTAATCTATAATTCAAAATCATCGACTTTGAATTATGGGTTAACACCAATCCAAGACCGAATCAAATCAGGATCGGAATTGGAATCACTAAAATAATTAGTGGAAATATCCGAGTAAAGCCTTTTTGTGTCTAGTCTTTCATTTATGTCCACTTGTAAAATATTTTTCATATTTAACTTTCAACTTTTCACTTTTGTTTTCTTATTTCAAAAATAGTCTAAACCCCAAATTAATATCCAATCCATTCCATCGTAACCCTCCTAAATGTTCTTCTCATCATTGCTTCGCCGACTGTTGGACTTCGCCACCGTGCCATTCATCTCCGACTCCCCTCCTTGTAAAACGATAGCAGTGAGTAGCTTAAATTTGTGAATGACTTTCGTCGATTGTGTGTTTCGTATATGAACGGCGACTAGCGAGCTTGCTAACGGCAGCTTGCGATGGCGAGCAAAATGCAGGCGCAGATCACAAGAGTTGGAGCACCGAAACAAGAGATGAACGCAGAGAACATGAGGCGAACTGTGTGCCCGTGACTCTACTGAATTGACAACGGCCGACTGTAACAATCCGACTAACCGTGCTCTGTTTTTTTTTTTTATCTTTTGCCTTCTACTACTCGACTATTGCCTTACCTGATTGACTTGTCAATTTTTTTTGGGTTTAATTTACCGTAGCCTACTATTGCTCCTACACAAATCATTTATTTGCTATTAAATTACTTTATTTCTTACCTTTATTTGTATCATTGTATCCACCCCATATTGTACCTAGATACATCATGTATATATTTGGCTTGCATATTTGTAGACTTAATTTTTGGGATTACAGCCGTTACATTGCATGGATTCGGTAATCCCATGCTTGTATATAAACAATGGCCGATTGGCCTAATAGAGCAAGGGAATAATTTCTCCAAAATATATTGTTCCAATTTGGTATCAGCAGCTCATTTTTTTTCCTTACTCCAGCAATGTCTTCCTCTTCCCCAAAATTTCACCCGGCCCTAGCCATCTCTAATATCAAAAACTTCATTCCCATCACTCTCAACCTTGACACCGTGGAATATACCTCCTGGGCAGAACTCTTCAAAATTACGGCTCGAGCCTATCAAGTCATCGACCATATCCTCCCTAACGCCGCTACCCCCTCTACCGAACCTCCTGCCTCCCCCACCACGTCGGAGCAGCGGCTGGATTTTCAAGCCGCCGCAATCGAGGCTAAGGTACTATGGGATCGTTTGGATGCCGTCGTCCTCCAATGGATATACGGCACCATCTCTCATGATCTCCTCCACACGATCATTGAGCCCGACTCTACGGCACATGCGGCGAAGATATCTTCCAAGACAACCGGCATTCCAGGGCGGCATACTTGGAAAATCAGTTTTCCAACACCCGCCTAGACCAATTTCCCAACATTTCCTCTTATTGCAAAGCCCTCAAAATCCTGGCTGATCAATTAGCCAATGTGGGTGCTCCGGTCACTAACAGCCGGCTTGTTCTTCGTCTCGTGAACGGCTTGCCGGAACACTATGACACCGTGGCTTCCCTCATCCAACAAGCTGACCCTATCCCACTCTTCACCAAGGCTCGGTCCATGTTAACCCTTGAAGAATCTCGTAAAAACCAACAGGCCGGCAACCCCCCCGTGGCCATGATTCACATCAACAACAACCCCCCTCCACGGCCTCCTCCAGCGCACTTTCGACCTGCCAACCGCCAATCCCGTCCAAAGGGTCGCGGTGGCCGCCACAACCCCAACCCTCGCCCATATTACCCCTCTGCCCCGACAAACCCACCAACCGGCCCATGGCCATACCTACCTAACCCATGGGCATACTGGCCCCCCACCCCATGGGCCTCACCCCCCTGCCCTTACCACACCACGCACCCCCATCAGCCACCACCTCCCCACTCTTCCCCCGGCATTCTTGGACCGCGCCCACAAGCTCACTACTCGAGTACTACACCACCTCCCACCGACATTCAAGCGGCCATGCACACCATGACACTATCACCGTCGGACACCAATTGGTACATGGACACCGGGGCAACTTCACACATGACCTCCTCCTCAGGTACTCTCACACCCTATTTTAATTTGCGCACTAATAATCGTATCTTGGTTGGCAATGGAATGTCTGTTCCTATTGTGGGTCACGGTCACACCACCCTACCCACCTCCCCCTCCCCTCTCCACCTACAAAATGTACTCCATGCCCCTCATTTAATCAAAAATCTTATTTCTGTCCGTCAATTTACTACCGATAATAATGTCTCCGTTGAATTTGACCCCCTTGGTTTTTCTGTGAAGGATCTCCACACAGGGACAAAAATTCTGCGGTGCAATAGTTCCGGCCACCTCTACCCGGTGCAACCTAGTCTCAACCCACACACACTCCATACATCCGCCTTCATTACACTTCCCGCTGAACTTTGGCATAGTCGGCTAGGCCATCCGGGGGATCCCGTTTTTAATATTCTTCGCTCCAATAATGTTATTTCGTGTAATAAAATTCTTGCTTCCACTTGCACCTCGTGTCAAATGGGAAAGCATGTTAAACTACCATTTTCTAGTTCTTTGTCTTGTACTTCTAAGGCATTTGAAATAATACATAGTGATTTATGGACTTCTCATGTGTTAAGTAATACCGGACATCGATACTATGTTTTATTTTTAGATGATTACACGAAATTCTTATGGGTGTACCCCCTTCACCATAAATCCCAAACTTTCTCCACTTTTGTCACATTTTATAATTTTGTTCGCACACAATTTGAACAACGTATAAAAATTCTACAATGTGACAATGGGACTGAATTTCGTAACCTTCACTTTACCAATTTTGGTGCCGCCAACGGTATCCATTTTCGTTACTCTTGTCCCTACACCTCCCCTCAAAATGGCAAGGCCGAACGCACCATACGCACTCTAAATAATGTCGCC